GCTCCAATTTTATCCCACTGTCTTGTGGAACATTTACTTGTCACTGTGGAAAAATGTACAGGAACTGTCATGTGCAATCTCTATGTTCCTAATGAAAAATGTTGTCAGGGATTACATATATATTGTCAGATATAGTTGTAAACCAAGATTATAGATATTTTTGATAAATTATCATTGTTCTTGGATATATGGAAAGTTTATTGCATTTAAAATTTGATTCCTATGGTAAAAATACAAAAAGAATTGCTTTAATCGTTTCTTAAAAGATTTAATCAAGCAGCAGGAAATCTGCATATAGGGGCAGTAGTCATTCTTTTTCCACATTAGAATATTTGAAAGAGGTCTTCTATATCATGATTCTAATGTTTTAGCATTTCTAACCTTAAATGTCATTTTGAAATGAGAAACAATAACGGTAAGTGTTTACTCACAGGGAAATTGTTTAAAGTACAATATTTTTCCATTATCCTTCCACCTCCTCCGCGCTTTAATTGTAATCATATTTTTAGTTAGTCTTTTACACCCATTTGAACTACCTTTATTTTATACAGAATAACAGTTAATAGTACTTCAGCTTTGTGTAACTAGCAGTAATTTAAATTTGTTACTAAAATATCATATACAGACTAGGATATGAATATCTCAAATCCTTTTATTTCAAATGTTTCTGATACCATGTAATTAATCATTAGTGAAAACATCACCATGCTGTGATGAGGCATTCATGACTTTACTGTATTGAGACCTGGTAGGAAGCTGAAACATTGTTTTTCAACCCTAACACTCAGGGAAGTCTTCTTAAATATTAATTTTTAAAAATTAGTTCTGAGTTGTGTCTTTCCTTAGAAAAAAGGTCTCAGAAGAGAAAAATGTGTATTTGCAAAGGAAAAGAAAAGAAAACCAGAACAAATACTTTGCAACTGAGAATCAATGTATGACATATCGAAACCTTTTACATATAGAGGAAACAGCTCTTGATTTTTGATAGTCTTGTTTTAATCATCTTTATTTATAAAAACTAGATAAAATAAATATGAAGTCTGTCTTTTCATTGGTATTGGTTTATGGAAACTCATTCTTTTAAAGTAAGAGGAATTAATTTTGACATTTACCATTTTAATACTGAAGTGTTATGGCTTGCATTCAATATATATATAAAACCAAACTAAACTCACTTCTGACGAGTTGATTTGACTCATAGCGACTCCTCCTTGGGTTTCTGAGTCAGTATCTCTACAGAAATAGATTGCCCAATCTTCCTTCTGAGGAGTGGTTGGTGGGTTTGAACTGCCAGCCTTCTGGTTAGCAGTCAAATGCCTTCCAGAACTCCCTCATTATATATTTATATAATAGTTTTATGCTAATGAGTTGTACATCTTTATCTCAGTTTCTGAGAAGCATGTAGATCCTCCCATGTTTCTCAGCTCTGGACAACACAGTTAGTCAAGGGTAACAAAACTTGAATAGTCAGCCTCAGACAATTATATAGTATATATTGTTTCATTGTGTCAAGGACTGTGTCACCTCAAAACTATATTAGTTGTTTTCGAGTCAATCACATAAGCATAGTTATTTCTGTAAAATAATCCAAGAGTACATGGGAATGTGCAATATTTTTTTTCCTCTTTGGAATCCTCATGACTAATGAGTTAGAGTCATGTGTGGTTTTATTCTTCTCATGTAGGTAGTGCAAACTGGGCTTAATTATTTTTACCTCTTTACTTTCTACATTTATGCATGATCAGAATAAGGCAAAGTATGACTGATCAATTTATTCTGTAAAACTGCCAATAAAAAAACAATTGCTGTTGAGTGAATTCTGACTCATGGCAACCCCATGTGTGTCAGAGTAGAATGGTGCTCCAGAGTTTTCAATGACTGTGAAACTGGTATCTTACTAATATAGCTGAAGGATGTGGCATAAGGTTGATGAATCTTTGTTTTAATTAACCCTCTTATCAGTGTATTGTCTTGAGTGGGAGATTTGAAACACAAATTTTTATTTGTAAGTTTGTGTTTATTATATATTTCCTCATTTCAAGTCAGAAACCTCTCAATGGGGGCAGCAGTATCCTATGCTTAAATGGTATTTGGTAGCAATCTGCTACTTACGGTTCTATTTTCTCTCACCTTTCTAGCTTCACAGTACAGCATGGAGGGTGCTTAGCAGTAATCGTGGCATGTCCTTAAAAGTTTGGCAGGCACATTATTAGGTGAACAAAACCAAGAGTTTTTCAAGAGACTTCCTCAAGGTTTTGACTCTTCCTGGAATCTCATAGAACTGAGATTAAATGTTGACAAGGTTATATGTAATGACTTCTGTTGTCCTGTCAACATAGGCAGTCAGTGATTTTTATTAAAACTGTTCATGGGCTATAGACAGGCAAAGACTGGTTTATTTTTACCCTCAGTTTCTGCCACTAAAATGGGAACTCATATAGCTGGATTAACTCGGCATTATGATAAGGATTAATTTTCTGATAGTAATGTGAACTGCTTTGAGGTTGTTGTTGTTTTTGTTATGTGCCGTCGAGTCGGCCCCGACTCATAGCGACCCCTCCTTGGGTTTCCGAGGCAGTATCACTACGGAAGTAGGATTGCCCAACCTTCCTTCCGAGGAGTGGCTGGTGGGTTTGAACCCCCAGCCTTCTGGTTAGCAGTCAAGTGCTTTAGCCACTATGCTACCAGAGCTTTGAGGTTATTAACCATTTTATTAATGAGTAGCTTTTATGTAAAGCTGTATCCCCATGTTTTGTGTTTGAAGTGTGTATTCCTGTTGTCCATAGTTCTATTTTTCTTCCATGAAGTTTCAGCATTCTTTTACTGGAGTGCTGAAAGATTTGAGGCCTATTTATAGAACAGAGAGGCATATTTTAGGCTGTTTTACATCTGTGTGTGTATCTAATTCTAATTTTTGAACTGGCTTTGAATTTGTGATTATTACTAATAAATTGGGCATTTGTCTTTTGCCATTATAATACATTTTTTCAAATTTAAGCAGAATAAAAGCTTTAGTGCTTGTACCAGTAATTATCACTTTAATGTAATGTTATAAGGTATGAAAGGGTAGAATAAAAGTAACAAGACTGAGTAGGATATGTAGTTGAAGACTTCTGTTGATCATTCTATCCATGATCTGATGTTATATCAATATCTTTCTTAAATTCAAATCCAATTTGAGAAAAAGTAATCTCTTAAAGGCATGGCTTTGAAAATTTGTTTCTTCACTTCCAAGCTTAGTATCATCTTTTGTATGACTTTAGCATAGAATTAAAACACACATAGATCACAATATATATACCTCATTTCTGAATTTGAAATAAAGAGTAGTAAGATACCCCTTTGACAATTAAATACATCCTGAAAATATGTGTATGCTTGAAGGCCCATTGGAAGGTCATTCAGAATTCAGCTTTAAATCACAGTGGTAGATTATTCGTTAAAGTCTAAGATATATTTTATAGGAAAGAAAAGAGAAGAAAGAAAGAAAGAGGGAAAAGAAAGGGAAGGAAAGGAAAAGAGAAGGGAGGAAAGGGCCAGTGAGCTTTTATTTAATAGAATCAAGCTGCTTTTTATTTGGAAAATACTTTTAACTCTTGCCATAGCTAGGTATTATGGTTGTTCTTCATCAGCCATTTCATGACACACTGATCTGGATTCTATCCAAACCTTGATTGATTGATCATGTCATGGACAAATGTTAATTGTTTTCACCAATACTTTCTAATCATGGAGTGTTCTTCTCATCTTTTACCCAGGGCTCACTGTCTTTTCTAAAGCTTATCTGGCTTCCAAAACCCTTTAGATCCATCTTGACCTCACTGTCATTCTGAAAAATTCAAGGAGGATTTAGAAGCTGCAGGGAAAAAAAAAAAAAAAAAAATGAAAGGGAAAAATGCTAAAGAGATAGGTACTGATAGGGCAGAGAAAAAGCATTTGGAATTGAAGTAACCATTTGAAATATAATTTAAAAAAGAAGTTATCAGAATTTTGACACTTGGAATGTTAACGTTTAATGGGAGTATGCTTTGCACTAAGGATTTAGTATTTAAATCTGCATTTTTTTTTTTTTTTTTTTGAAACATGGCCTGTTTGTTTATATTGGAGGCTCAAAAGATCTAAGTATATAGTCATAAGCAGTAGGCCCATTCTCAAATCCATGTGAATGGACAGGAGAAAAGTAACTCTTTGAAAAAATTAGGTAATTATTAGGAAATTCTAAAGTATAGATTCCTGTAAACTTTGTGAATCTATTAAAAAAATGTCAACTTGGTTGTAGAATATTATTTAGAAAAGCAATAGGGAAAGTATTAGTATTTAAGTATTTTCATTAATATAACAATGTTTCTCTTTTTATATAAAGTTTACCAGTTTTCATTACTGAGGGACAGTGAGCATCTTGGCTTTATTTTTTCCCTTCTTTGCTCTCAAGGAGTATTTTACAAAGTTTTCATATATTTATTTCTTATTTAATTACTAAGTTTTTTATAGGTGGTTTGGCTTCTTCCCACTTGAAGATCTGTCATTTTTTTCTTGAATAGCACATACATTTTGCCGGGCTTAAAAAAAACTACCTGGACTAAAAGAAATAACATTTAAACTTAGTAACATTTAGCTTGTCAGTCTAAGAACTGCTCTAGATGTTGACTGAGTATTAATAATATTAAAATTACAATACCAAGATAAAATTATTAAATATTATCTCTTTTTTTTCCCCTCCAGACAATGGTTTAAAGAATCCTTTGGTAAAAATAAACTAGGTTGTGGTATTTTGAACTACACAAAACACTGTAATTTTCTATAGTCTATCATTAAAACACCAAAAAATAGTTTTATGTATTTTTAAATGGGAGAATTTCTCTATCATCTGGCCTTCTGGATTTATAATATACATAAAATTTTACATATTTTCAAAATAATTTAGTAATTTAATATTTTAAAATATATATTTGTATATATATTTAAAATATATAATGTACATTTATTTTGTATCTTAATAGATTCCTCCTGCATGGAAAAACTACTTTCAAAAGATTGGAAGGAAAAAATGGAAAGACTAAATACCAGTGAACTTCTTGGAGAAATTAAAGGTACACTATATAAAATATCAAATATTTCAATGCAGAGATGTTATGTTATATAGCACCATATTTGCTGATTTTCCATAGCCTCACACTAAGTTGTTACCTCTCAACGCTTGTTTATATATGAAAGAATAAATGCATAATATGTCTTTGAGAAATTTCACCTTCTCTTTGTATGAGTCATTAAAGATATAATTTATAGGATAAACTGCTTTATTAATTTACTTAGCAGAAAAGTGTGAAAAGAAGATACTCTGTCAAAACACGGATAGCAAATTAAAGATAATCTTAGTTCTTCCTCTTTAAAATCATATTAACTTCGTTTATAAATTCATTTCACTTGTTTGGATTTCTTCTGATCAATAGAGGTCAACTGCAGCACCTTAAAAAAAAAAAGTTTATGGAATGTGCTGTGTATGCTGGTACATAACGATTTATGGGAGGATTCTGAATTTTGTTTATTTGGATTATAATCCCAGCTCTGCCATTTACTATATGAGTAACTTCGGGCTAGTCATTTAACTTTTCTATATTTCAAATTCCTAATCTTTAAAATGATGGTGATAACAGTATCTAGCTCATAGGTTCATTAAGAGAGTTAATACATTGAGTTTTTGCCTGTCAAGTAAGAAAGAACTCATGAGTGTAAGTTGTGGTTCTTGTTGTTAGTCGTGTGCCTACAGGAAGATGTGTTGGTGGATCTCAGATTTCATGGGATTTAACATTTCATGACCTTCTACTTTGATGAAGGTGATTTTATTTTTGAAGATATGTGATTAGTGTTACTACTTTGAAACATATTAAAAAGTGACATTCCCAATCCATTTCAGTATTCAGTTTACCCTATCAATCAGGAAGCTACACTTCTTGCCTAAGCAAATGCTTTCTTGTTTATTCCTTTACGGAAATGAAGAAGTACATGAATACCTCAGATATTGTGGGCTCATTTCCAGACCACCGCAATAAAGTAAATATCACAATAAAGCAATTCACATGACTTTTTTGGTTTGCTAGTGCATATAAAAGATATGTTTACACTATACTGTAGTCTATTGAAGGGACTCTGGTTATATAGTGGTTAATACATTCAGCTGCTAACCAAAAGGTCAGTGGTATGAACCCACCAGCTGCTCTGTAGAAAGATGAGGCAGTTTGCTTCCATAAAGATTTATAGCCTTAGAAAGCCTACAGGGTCATTATAAGTCAAAATGGACTTGATGGCACTGGGTGGGGGTAGTCTATTAAGTGTGAAATAGAATTATGAAAAAGCTTGAAATATTGTGAGAATTACTGAGATGTGACACAGAGACATGAAGTGAGCATATTCTGTAGGAAAAATGGTGCAGATAGACTTGCTCCACACAGAGTTGCCCAAAGCTTCAATTTGTGAACAACTCAGTATCTGCAAAGCACAATAGAGTGAAGTGCAATAAAATGACATGATGCCTGTACTTTATTCATAGTTGTTTGTATCATGAATGGAATCCATGATCATTCATTTCTCATCACTCTGACTTGCATTAATTCTTTGGAAGCTTTACAACATTGTTGTTAGGTGCCATCAAGACATCTCTGATCATAGCAATCCTTTGCACAGCAGAACGAAACACTACCTGGTCCCGTGCCAACCTCACGATCCTCGCTATACCTGAGCCCATCATTGTAGCCGCTTAATTACATTAGTTTTTTTTTTTTTTTTTTTTTAATTTATCAAGCAATTTCAGGTGAATTTTTCTATTAGCTGTGAATAGTATCTCATTGTGGTATACTAAATTACATAGTGTGGCTTTTCTAGCCATAAGTCTTTGTAAATTCTATGGTGGAATTTGCTGTGAGCAACTGAGTATAGCTCCTGATTGTTAAAGTTGCCCACCTTTGGTATTTTTGTTGGGAGAAGCACTAAGTAATTTTCTGGGAAGTTTGATCTCTCTCAGGTGTATAGAGTTCTGATGTTGGGATTGGTTAGTTTGACCACTCTGTCAGGCTCAAAAGGAGCCCTCCTAGAGGTAGAAGGAGTCTCTCTGACTGCTGACTGAGAAAGACGTGCTGCTGAGAGAAACACACTCCTGAGAGATGCACTTGCCAAGAGAGAGATGCAAGAGTCACGCACTGCTGAGAGAAAGAGTTGCAAGAGACGTGCTGCTGAGAGAGAGAGTGCTGGCTGCTAAGTGAGATGGCGGGCTGCGAGAGACTGACTGCATTTCTGAACTTGAATTGTGGTCTCTGATAAACCCCATAATCTGTGAGTTCTGTGTGGCCACTGCAGTGAATTATTGAACCCAACAGAGAGGTGGTAGGTGCTGCAGGAGGAATGGTTGGTGTCTGGGTTGGTGAAAGGGCTAGAGGGAGGCACCATGACTGGCCTTGCAGGAATAGGCCTTGGGCTACTACTGATGCTGATTCTGTCTTCCTCTTGTGAGGTTAGAGGAGGTCAGAAGATGCAGCCTCCCTGCCCCTATGGCACTCATTTAAGATGAAAATTAGGCAATAGTTATCTGACAAAAAAGGAATACCTGTGGTGTAGTGGTTAAAGTGCTCAGCTGTTAACCAAAAGTTTGACAGTTCCAACATACCTGCCTCTCAATGGGCAGAAAGATGAGGCAGTTTGCTTCTGTAAAGATTTATAGCCTTGAATTTACAGCCTATGGGGCAGTTCTACTCTGTCCCATAGGGTTGCTATGAGTTGGAATCAGCTTGATGACAATGGGTGTGGTTTAGCTTATGAAAATGTTATTTTGAATTTAATACACAAAAATGCCTAGTGTTCAGGGATGTTTGTTCAACTCAGATGAAGATAAAAGGAAGTCATCTCTTTCCTAATGGATAATTAATAACTATTTCCATTAACTAATACAGTATCAAAATCAAGTGGAAATTGGGTATTATTTTGAATTTCATTGCTTCTGTTTTATACTCATAAAGGCCATTTGCTATCTTGGAAAAAAAGACACTCAACTTTAACTGATGAGTAGCAAGAAAGTCATTAGTGACCTATTCTCTACCCAGCTGCAATAATATGGTATGTGCTACTTGGCATGCCATTCTATGTTTTCTTCCCTTTCCAAAGTCATTGGTTTTATAACAGTAGGAACAGACATTTAAAGCCCTCTAAAATTTCAAAATAATGATGACTAATTTAGATAGCTAATAACTAGACTGGTTTCATCTAGACTAAAAATACATTGTGGCTTTTAGCTGTGGTTGAATTAATTTATTTGAATATTATTTTTTTCATTTTTAAAATATATTATTGGCATATTTTTTCTAGAATGTATATTAGGAAGACCAAACACTGCCATCAAGTCAACTCTGACTCATAACAACCCAACAGGAGAGGATAGCATTGCACGCATAGGGTTTCCAAGGCTGTAAATCTTTCTAGAAGCATTGTTCTCCTGCAGAGTAGCTGGTGAGTTTGAACTGCCAACCTTTTGGTTTGCAGCCAAATGCTTTAACTGCTGCGTTACCAGAGCTCCTTCGTCTCACTTATTTTGGTCATGGTCTCAGAAGGGACCATTCCCTGGAGAAGGATATCATGCTTGGTAAAGTAGAGGGTCAGTGAAAAAGGGCGTAAAACTTTTAACATACATGCTATTTGTGTAAAAGTATGGTAATTTGGATTAAAATGAAGAGTTTTATGTAAACTTTTTTTCTGTTAAATCTCTCTTCTTTTGTGAATTGCCCTTTTGTGCTGTTGTTGTTGTTATGTGCCGTCAAGTCGGCCCCGACTCATAGCGACTGCTCCTTGGGTTTCCGAGGCAGTATCACTATGGAAATAGATTGCCCAACTTTCCTTCTGAGGAGTGGCTGGTGAGTTTGAACTGCCAGCCTTCTGGTTAGCAGTCAAGTGCCTTAGGCACTACGCTACCAGAGCTCCTTTTTGTGCTAGTTACCTGTTTTCCTTTAAAGGATTTAAATTGTTCTCACTGGTTAGTAAGAACTCTTGATACATATTTTTTAACCTTTTTTTCATATATGTTGCTTTTTGTCATTTGCTGTATTTTATGGTTTTATTGTCAAATCTTTCCATCTCTTCTTTTATGGTGCTTCTGTTGGGGTTTGTTTAGAAGACTCCCCCAACCCTGAGATTAGATAAATATTCAACTATGTTTTGTTGTAATTCTTTGCCTATATTTTTAACATTCAACTCTAATTCCTCTTGAATATATTTTGATGTATAATATCTGTTAGAGATATAAATTTTTTTCCTCAAGCAGTTATCCAATGCTCTGTGTACCGTTTATTAAATAATTCATCTTATCCCCACATACTTGAAATGCATCTTTTATTACATACTGATTACATATTGGAACCATTTCTCATATATTGGTTCTATTTCATTGATACTTCTATCTAAACTTATATTAGTGCTATGCTATTTTAATTATTGTAGCATTATAATACCTTTCAAAAGTAATCATTGAAGAACTGCATTCATATTTTATCTGTAAGATGTTTTCATATTTTTCTAACATTTATTTTAAACCTATTTTATCAAATTAATTGAAATCCCAATGTGATGTTTTAGAAGATTATGGTACATTTATATAAAACTGTGGGGAAAACTGACAGTTTTGAGTTTTTTGATTCAAAATCCACTTATTCAATTAATTTATGACCCACATTAAAGTTTTATTTTTAGAAGAAAAATTATTTATGTTTCTTTTGATGATTTTTTTCATTGTATTTACTATTTTCACATTTGTAAATGAGGTATTCTTCATTCTGGTTTCATTTTGCTACAACATGCTAGTTACTTTTGCATACTTATTGTGCTGCTTTATTTTATAACTTCCTCTTTATCAAATTTATTAGTTCTAGTCACACTGTGCCTTGGCATTTGACTGCTAACCAGAAGGCTGGCGGTTCAAACCCACCAGCCACTCCTTGGAAGGAAGATGGGGCAATCTACTTCCGTAGTGATACTGCCTCAGAAACCCAAGGAGGGGTCGCTATGAGTCGGGTCTGACTCGACGGCACATAACAACAACAACAACAACAACAGT